GGGAACACGCGAAATCCACGCGTAGAGGAATAACTGCTACACCAAGTACCGAAGGTTATCACCAGGTGTTCTGTCGTTCTCCATTGCTACAATCTCTTTTGACGAGGTTAATCAGAATGCCCTCTTTTTTTCTGATGCAATTTATAATATTATAAATTAAACATAGCGATGACTGATTTGTGATTAGATTCTTTATTGGTGCACTACGAAAGTACGATTTAGTATTGGAAAGTGAAGTAATGTAACATTGAATCATGATTAATGCAAACACAGCAATAGAGAACAATGAATCATTGTTCATTTAGTGCTATTTAAACATTTTAAGCCTATTGGTAATTATATGCACCACCTGTTCAAAAATATATAATGCTGCATTTTTCTGTCATAATTTATTTGTGGGTTTCGTATGATTGTCAGAGTAATCATCGTCAGTCAACTGATGTTTGTAATGGTAAGTTATTATTTATAATCTTTAAATATTCTTTAGATGACCTTAGGTTTAAAAAGCTAAATATGAGATAAAAAGATGTGAATTGTGCAGATCACAGCATGCATAGACAAAGCAAGATGTGAATGAAGTTATCACCCGGAAACCAGGGCCTTAAAATATTCTAATGTCGTATTTCAGCGCATCCGCCCACAGTCGGGTTTGATTCCCGAAAGGCGCGTTGGGTGATTGCCTCTGCACCATAAGGGCGCAGAGGCCCACTGATTCTTTAACCCTGCTTCGTGTCTGGGATGTCCAGGGTTTACTCGGCCCGGAGACGACCGTGGTTTACCTCAGTCCTTCCTGGCAAATGCCAAATTAGGCCACGACATTTTCTTCTGTGCGCTTTGCAGCTCATTATTATCTTGTCCCCCGACCCAAAAGTCTGGGGAAGTGACAGCGTCGATAAATATACCATAAAATGTAGGCGACATTGTCCCCAATCTGTTGTCGTAAAAGGACTCTCATTTCGACGACGCTTCTTTGAGTATTGTCCAGCTGGAGGCAGTTGGGGATTCTGTGTGGAAAGTCCCCCTGCCTGCCTCGGCCTGATCGCAGAGGGACTCCCCTGCCAGACACATGACCTTGTGTTCATGCCGTAGACAACATAAAATTATTGGTTGCAGGGAAAACCAGCCGGGAAAACACGTCCGATTTTTATGCTAGGACAATGCATGGTTCACAAAGGCGAGCTTTAGTTTCACTGAGCAAGACCGTGTCGACAGTTTAATTCGAATCGAAGTTTGCCGGTGTAAAGAGTGTCTAGTTATTGGTCTGAATTCGGCAGGTGAAAACCAATAAGAGAGCGTGGGTCTGAGGCTGAATCAGGTAATCTTTGCTGTGTTTTGAGTTACACGAAGCTCCCTGGCAATTATTAGATACTTAGGTATACATATTACCAGATTACCGGAGAACATGCTGATACAGCATCATTTAAACTTCACAGGGTAGTCGATTCAGTGTTACACATTTACGTTAGATGTTCTTCTGTTTTGTGGGCCGTAGGTAGACTCCAACGTTTCGAAAGAACATACTACCCCAATCTTTAGAGTTGAAGTAGTTAAAATCTTTACCACTAAGCTGTAACAAGGTACAGAAGATTGTAATAGTTCTTGGAAAGGCATTCCTACATTTAAGTTCAAATATCTTCTACCACTAGATTAAAACTCTGTGCATCGAACAGTGCACATCGGGACATGAGATTCAACCCTTCGAGGGTGCATTTGATTAAAAATTGTATTGGGTCCTTGGATATCCTGGCAGGTTCTTCACTGTGATGGTCTTCTGGATTTTGCTTTTGTAAGTGGTTACCATCGTTTGCGCCTCTGAAGATGGAGGCGACACGTTCCTCCGAAACGTTGGTAACCACTGCTAGGTGCACAACGTACATCGAGAGATTTTTCTTCTCGACTCGTGAGAGGTTCGAACTAAAGACTGTAAGTCAAAATTCCCCAAAGACAAAACCGAAGGCGTCTGCCCATTCTCCCCACACGCAGCGACGCTCGAAACGGACGCCTGCCTGAAAGCAGGAACAGCTGAGTTGCCCCTTCCACGTCGGCTACCCGCTGTAGCAAGAATCGCAGCTGTTGTCGGAAGCCGGGATCAATGCTCACCGCCACACAACAGCTGACACAAAAGATCTATCGTGACTTAACAGGTGTTCAGAGGAAGTCCGCGCTGTGCTGCGATAGTGGGAGGTCAAGGCGCTCGGGACACATTACTCAGTTCTCTCGAACCTCGTGTCATTTCGTCCCTCTGAAGTCTAATTATTCTCCGATGCGCCCTATTCCAAAACACCCTCAACATGAGAGCTCGCTTCACGCAAATGTAAGACAAGAGGTGAATTGTAGTTTTGTTGATTTTAATATTCGTTTCCACACAGCAGACCCGGAGACAGGACACCTTTGACGGCGTGGTAACTAGCATTTATTTAATCTTTCGTCAATGAAATTGTGATTTGCGACCGTCGTCCTTAAGCAATTGAGCGTTTGCCACATTTTGCGAGATCTGAGGTTCTCACGGCGGCGAACATGTCGACACGTGGAGCCAGAAATTTCTCGAAAACTTTGCTGTCCACCTCGGAGTCCACACGGCGTCACAACCTCACCTCACTACCGAAGACGTTGGAAAATGGGATGAAAGTTTAGCGAATAACTGAAGAGACTGGCTTTGGGGTGTTCAGTGCGCCTCAAATGGGAGTTACTGCTATATGCATACTCGCAAAGCCCAAATGCATTATTTTTAAGACTTGAGGAAAATCATATATCAAACGTTACAAATTTGTGCAAAGTTTTGTAACTTCTCCACACAGCATGAAAACTCGAATCTTAACCAAATCTCTTATATCGATTAAGATTCATTTCCTCCACGTTTTAGAACGATGTGCTGTTTATCATAAGGTAGTTAAACATGTGAGCAGGTTATCATAGGAAGTGTTGGTCTTGTTACAACGCGGATAACACTTAAATTTGCTAAAACAACTTTCTGAAACATTTCGAAGCCTGAAGCTCATCTAAGTAAGATTTGAAAAGCCATCTCTTTTCACAAAGAAAAACACATTTCGCCATGACATACGAAGTTCAATTGCTTAGCGCTGTTTAAGGAAATAATCGCTGTTTACAGCGAGAATCATATTAAACACACACTGTGAACAAAACGCAGGGTTAATGTTTATTAAAACAGGTGACGATTTAAAGTGTCAATAAAAGTTCGTTCAACGAGAGCGTAGTTATTGCGTGTTTACTGACGGACGGAAATGGTAATACTCGACACGACAATTTGTTACAGCTAGCTGCAGACATAAATGTCTGAGTTGCACAATATTAGGTCTTTTACGTTTCAGTTAGGGTAGGCGCAAGTCACAAAGAACGCCTAATTTTAAGCCGTCTAGCAGCTCCTTTTCGCATCCCGCGTCTAAACTGTGCGGATGAATACATCGCAGTCTGCATGCTGTATAAGCCCTTTTCGTTGAATGCACTGAAATCTGATTCTTTAGGCCTGTAAAATTCTTCTTTATTTCCGGTTTGTAGCTCATTTTGTAGGCAGATGGCATTTCACGTTAACTTGTAGATAGTATATTGCTCTAAACGTTAGAGCAATATACTGCTTCCATATTCAGGGTTGAAGATGGAGACGGTATGTTCCTTCGAAACGTCGCCACATCTTCTCACAAGTCTATCAAGTTTTATATACGCACTGTTGCCATCGAAACCCCATAACGCGAAAAAGAGAACTAAAACATGTTCTTTTTTTAATGTGGTAACACTTGTGTGTCCGCTGGGCCCTAGCGACAAAGGAGTTCAGGGCTGTTTTGTATGTAAATGAAGTTCTTCTGTTTACAACGTAATGCGTAACTTTTACGCCCGCGCTGTGTACTAGTACGTTCCGTCACAGCTTGGGGCGTATTGCTTCATTCACAGGTGCTCATCGCCCTGACGATAGAGGCAGCAGGAACCTCTGAAACGTCGATAAACTTGTACCAGATTACACGGCGCAACACCGCATGTGGGGGAGGTCTGTGCCTGAATTAGGAAGTCAGTCGCTAAGACAATTAGTCGTGTCTTTAGTTCAAGTGTTCTCAACTAGCGGCTCGCAGATGATTTGCGCGCGGTCTGCGTGTATCACTGCAATAGTGTGTCATTCAGGATAACAATTCTTAATTTTTAATGTCGACATAATCAACGCTTCAAATTAATGAAGAACGTGTAAATGAGACGTGGCTTTTTGGCGGCAGATTACAGATATTTGCGATAATAGTAAGAATATCGATTGACGTTAAAGAAAACTGAGTAACGTATGGAATTTTTCGTAACTGTCAGTTATGCAATGTTTATAAATTTTCCTCATTTACAACCCGTGGCGCGTGAGTCGACAAAAAAGTTGAATCTGACCCCAGGTCTTAGAGTGGCGAAGAAACCTCGTGTTTTATTTAGTTCGTTGTTTACGTAGTTCCATAACATAATATATAATGTTTAAGAACTCAGTCCGTACCGCAAAGAAAACACAACGTCACCATTCAAAGATCAGTTGGTTGATGTTGTTTAGGGAAATAATGAAAATCGTGCGAAAGAAATAAGCTGTGCCGTTAAATTCAGAGCTATTAAATGTTGAAGCAGATGGTATATGCAGTTGTTATTACTTTTAAAATGGTTCATATCCCTACTGAGGAAAATGTGTACTTGAAATCGATACTTTTATTCGAAAGAACTTATCACGTGACCTTCCATTCACTCACACACACAAAGCGGCCTGACACGGCACCAAGGTGTGTCACTGGCGTAAAAGAGGTTCGTGGTTCAAGCCCCTGCTTTGCAGCACTCATCGTTGTGGAGTGGTTTTTTTTGTGTGTGTGTGTGGTTCCGAAATTCCTCCGGGCAAACAGCTCAAAATGTTTCGACCTTTTTAGTGACCTAGAATTTTCCTACCACATGTCGTTTAACACTTCATGCATGCCCTTATTAGTCGAGACAGCTTTCGTGAGATAACTCGTAACAAAAAAGTTTGTGTTCTGTCGTGAGATAACTCGTAACAAAAAAGTTGGTGTGCTTTAGTGGCGTTGATTCATCGCCAGCTCCACTGCTTGGCTTTTCAGAAGATTTTAAAATAAATGTTCTTTTATTGCTTTCACACGTTCTTCCTGTGTCAGTACGAAGGATAATACGCCTAAGTAAATAGTAAACTCGTTGGGGGTGGAGTTGGCTTTTAAGCTCGTGGATAAATGCCTCTAACTCTCATCCCCGACTGTCAATGTTCCAGTTGATGGGGGGCATAGCAAAGCATAAATAATGAAATTTGTTTTTAAAATAAAGCATGAACCCCAATCGTGTTTAAGTGTACAAATTACACTATCAGGGCCCTCAAATCGACCACGGTTATATTTTCAATTCGGATTTCCGTCATAATACGTAAACATTCGGAAGCTGATTTCAGAATTCACAGCAATTTTGAGTCCTGTTGCGTAATCTTTTGGTCAGTAAGGGTTCAAACAAGAGCATGACGCGTGGGTGTGAAGCCACATTCTCGGAAAACCGAAAACCGAAATCGTTACTGAAGGGAAACCGTCGGTTCGTATCTTGCTGACTGTACCGAGTCATTAGACAGGCAGGTGTGGGCCTGTTCTCGTCTTCCGGCAACAGGATTCCAAGCCGTGAGACGCGAAGCGCAACAGAGCGAGCGCTAGACTCCGCCTCAGTGCCGAGAACAGCCAATCAAGTTAAGAGCCTGCCAATGATTCCACACAGAATCCTTATATATAAAGTATTTCCCGCGTCCGAACAGACCATGAGACCACATGGCCTGTGGTTGAGTGAGTCGGTGCTGTATTTGAGGCAAGTTAACCCAGTGCAGTGCGTTGGGAGTAGTGCGACCAGAATGAGCCTGTGAGTCGTCGAGTGTACCGGCTATGGGCAGACATCCGCTGATACCAGCAGCAGTGCCCGACCTAGGTCCCGTTCCCAGCTCCCGGTTGCTTCTCGTCGCCGTTTTCGCCGCCGCCCTCCTGTCCCTGTTCTCCTCAGGGAACAGTCGCGGGGTAGCGGCACTCTCCTTCCCGATTCCTGTCATCGCTGCCCCAGAACCTGCTACATACGACGTCGATCAGGAGGAAGAACATCGGGCGAATTCCAGAGAGAAAGAATCTTCCAGACTTGGAGAAGAGGAAGTGACGAAGCTGAAACAGAGGATCCTGGAAGGCTTGGGCCTGACGCGGACTCCAGACGCGTCGAAGGTAAGCGAGGTTTTGCTTCAACGCCGAGATCCTGCTCCATGGAATTCACGGGGCTGTCTTATTTTTTTTCACGAGTTGTGGTCACCCACTTCGGGGCTAAGTGTTTGGCCTTTGTTTTTATCAGATGTTCGGGAAACCCCGCCAGAGTGTGGGACTGTGAGGGGGGCCGAGGTGACAGGCGGTCGGTAACTGACAGAGGTATTTCCGGCTCGCGTGTCACTCCGTGTAATTATAATGTAATGACACAACTTCACGGCTGTTCGCTTGTCTACGTTCTATTCAAGACGGCGTCTGTTAATAAAAGTGTTTTGCTTCGTCGAAGAAGCGTTGTTTGTGAACCTTTGGCCTTTGGTTTTCCAAATCAAAGTCGTTGTTATTGTGGATAAGATGGTCGCGCGATGCAACGATGACATAACTCTCGCTTCAAAAGAAACAGCAAGTTGGAATCGTAACCTCGGTGTCAGAGAGTATAAAGCGTTCACAAGTGACGAGGATTTGAAACAAATCGCGTTTTCTGCAGTCCGGCTTCTAGGTTTTGTCGCACGGATTTACTCAGTCACTTGTTTTACGATATAAGCAAGCCATCTCATCTCGTTCTGCGTCGTCTTCACGGGCACACATTCCATCAGCACGTTAGAGCAAAACTGCCTTATGGCCATGACGTGATGAAATCCTTTTATGTGAGAATAGATTTTTTGTTTAGATGTACGTAATAGACATACAAACGATACGATTTGGTTTGACCTCATTTTCGATTTTTTATTGTGATTTTTAACGGATAGTGGTAACTATTCGTACCATTGCACTTCCCCCACAGAATGTCTTCTTAGGTCCCTTTTCTCTCTCACGGTGTACGGTGATAACTGCAGCGACATCCTTGACCGACTGATCTTTATAACATTTTAGTGATGTGTTTTCTTGGAGTTAGGAACTGAATTATTAACAGTTGTAGAAGTGAGTGTTTTGAATGTGTTCAGGACTTTCTTTGCTAGAAACGTACTGTCGCCGAGGTCCCTGGGACGTTCACCCCTTGCGACCAAGGAACCGCGGAAACCAGTCCGAATTCATGAAATCCGATTAAAACGGAGCATTAGCCTAATTCGAGCGACTGAGTCCGATCGCTTAGTTTCGTGGAAAACGTTCAGTTCGTTGAGCTTGTGGCTTGCGGTGATTCTGTCAGATCGCGTCCCGAGGATAAACGTTCCTAGCACGGTGTCATTCTGTGTGGTGGTGTCACAAAAAAAGCTGTTTCAGCTGAACGAAGAACATCGAATCTAGAAATAGGACGCGTCTTACTGATAAGCACTTGGAGGTGTGCACGCTGGTCCTAGTAACAGAGATTAAGTCCGATGCTGGAACACTGCCCTAGCAGACGCTGTGAATCCATCATGACCGAGTTTCTTAAAGGAAATGACTATGTTGCATGTCGACCTCTTGGAAATAGGAGGGCTAATTTGGGAGAGTCTTCAGAAATTTCCATGAGTTTCATTAAATCATCCTCATATGTGTGTAACCTTGCGACCCGAGGGTAGATAAGGGTGGGTGAATGTGATTTTACTACTGTAAGACGCAGGGCGAGGAGAAGACCGTTTGCTGGCGGCTAAAGTCGGTGTTCTAAGCTTGAGGTAACAACAAAGTCGCCCTGTCCTATGGAAGGGCTTCCGAAAATTGTGTGATGTTAGGGTAAGGAATTGGAAAGGATACGGAAGAAAGAGGCCGTGACCTGATTTCAGGGTCTCACAGCATTTGCCTGGCGTGAGTGAGGAAAATCACGAAAGTCGTCGGTCACGATGGTCGGTATGTGAGCCGAGATTTGAACACGCGACCTCGCGAAACAGGAGAGATATTTCTTTAGAATAAGCCACGACTCTGCGCTGTGCCTCGTGCAATTTCTTTGCCGTTTGTAATTAAGCGAATACTCCGATTTCCCGGGACCCATAAGTTGATTCTGCGTCACTAAATAACCATATCCAGTGCCCCGCAGTTGTTGTGGCTAATAATTATAACCAATCCCTCAGGTAGCCAAGAAACTGCCCACGTTCTCTGCAACCCCAAGGTTCATTACCGTGCCCACAACAGCCCGCCACCAGTCCCTACCCTGAGCGAGATGAATCCGGTCCACATATTTCAACCCTCCATCGATGCTTAGGTCTTTCAACTAGTCCTTCCCCTTCATTCCCCTTAGGTCGAAATGTTCTTCTCAGCACCGTCTTCTCAAACTTCAAGCTCTGTCTCTGTTTCACGCCCGTTCGAAACAAAGTGCAACATTATAGTCGTGTATAAAATATTTAAATTTTTACCAAATTTATTATGCTCCCAATTTTTGTGCAACATAATTTTATTTACCGATTTAAACTATTATAATTCAGAATCACTGTCTCTTCCTTATCAATACTAATTTATTTATATTTTATTTAACGACGCTGTTTCAGTTGGTCTTAAGTGACCTACGTTCCTCATCAGAGCAGGTGCGTTATCCACTTCGAAAGTTCAATTTGCGGTCTCATTCTCGAGCGGGCATTCTGAAGGGCGCTTTCATCCCACTTTCAAAGATAATACCTGCTACGCCTTCTGGTCTGTGCGGCGGATAGAAAGTCAATGCAGTGAATGAACAAATGTATCCGTGCTCCCGTATCGTGTCTACGAGATCATGTCTGACACGTGGTCGGACCGGTTCGTATGTCCGCTCGCGCCCTTTGCAATGTCGCATTGTGACTTCCATAGTCCATTGATCTGTTTCGCGTTGTATTCCTTTTGATACATCTGCCCTCCTTTCATTTCTCTCCGCCTTGCGTCTCGAATGCTCTACAGTTTCTGTGGAAAATTAACAGTAGACCTTCAATCTGAATGAGTGTCGTGGTAACCTGGTTTTCTTCCCACTTGCCAAAAGTTCCTTTAAAGCGTATTAAATAAAATCCCTCTCGAGATAATAATTATCCTCGTAGGATTTGAGGTATTCACGGTGGTGAGTCCCACTATGGCTGTCTTCTGGGTTTAACACCATGTAATCTGGCCTTGTAATCCTGGGGTCTCGGGTTCGATTCCCGGCGGTGCCCGAATTTATAACTTGTGTTGGGCAAGGCCGTGGTCTAGGCAACACGGAGTTTTCCTCCGTGGCATCCCAACAATTACTCCATTCACACACAGAAGAAGGCAATGGCAAACCACTTCTGGATCATCTGCCAAGAGCGTATATGAACAGGTCCCAGTCCGAGAAAAGGATGGAAGGATCCTGTTCATATGGACCTGTCGTCAGACAGAACACTAAATAAAAAAATCTTATAGAAGTTTACCAACTTTTCGGAGGTCCTCGCTGTCACCATTATCAGGGATGTGAGTGAGTGATGTTGAAGGCGCTATGACCCAGATGACAGCCATCTTAATAATTGTCCGATGCAGAAATCATAGGGGCGGTGATAAATGTATACGGTGTAATGGTAGAATGATTGATAAAATAAATTTGAATTACTCAAAGATAAACCTTCCTGATTGCCGCATTGTTCATCAGGAAACACGTACGGACTTTCCCATGACTGAACCCGGGCCTGCGCACTGGGAAGCTTCCGTTTGAATACTGTGGCCCCCCCCCCCCTCTTTTCCGAACGAGTGGTCGATTATAATCGCGTGGGGTAAAGGTCGCACTAACAATCGCTGTATGACGACACTGACTTCCTCTAAGATTGTGAGCGGAAAATGTCAATATTAAATTCATCCTTCAGTTTTCGTAATGTGTTATTCTGCAAAGAGAAATTTCATAAAATGTTGCCGTGGCCTATTGCAGCCAACACACAGCTCGTACGAGAGAGCTCTTTGTCTTCAATACCACGCAACAAACTTCGATTGAGTTTTCCGGGTTGGATAACACGCAACAGAGAGATGTGAACGTTACTTCCTGAAATGCAAACAAGCCACGTGCTGTTCCTGTCAACGAAACACATTTTAGAGAATATAAATGCTGTTAAAACATATTCATTACAGAGCAGTACGTGATTAACCTTCTTTATTGTCTACGTTCCTCTTCCGGGTTATAACGCTATGTGTACATTCTGCATCCCTGAAGATGGAGGCAATATTTTCCTCCGAAACGTTAGTGTCTGTTTGCAACTCCACCCAGGAGACCAAACACTTCCCAGAGGGAGAACCTCAAATCTCTTGTTTTATAATTTTCATTGTACTTTAATCACAAATACGATTGGCAGGAAATTGTCTTCACATTTGAAAAAGCGTTGTTAAACAACCTGATTTCAGTCAAAGGTTCCTTTCCCAGGCCAGTGTTACAGGTATAACTATGCAAATTTACTACGCTAATAGACTGAAAGTTGATTCAGCGTCTTCAAATCATAGTTTAGCTGTTAACTCCTCCTGACGCAGTTTGCTTGAATGTTGTGTCAGTTCCGTGAATATATGCCACGGAATTTGAACTTGATGTGTCCCGCGGGGTTGATGTCCCCCCGCCCCCTACCACCTCATTTGTGTAGATGCGGAGTGCGCCATGTTTTCCACGAACCCACAACGAGAGAATGAGTTGTCGCATGAATAATGCTTTAACGTGTAAAAGGCTAACGATTTCGTGGAAGGACGAGGAATATTCCGGGGCGTCTACACTTTCCCTGTCGAGCTAAATGAACCCCGACGAAGTCTGCGATGTCGCTCGGATATGAAAAAGTGTGACAAGCCCTTCGTCCGGGGTGCCGCCGTGGAAGCCGCCCAGGGAAATGTACTACAAGGCACGGGGGTGTGTAGAAATGCGTCCTAATTGAAGCAAAAATATTTCGGGTTTGGGCGAAGCTTCTAAAATAAGAAGTGACTCGATCTGTGTCCGGATGACATTCGGTTCTCATATCTGTCTGTTACTCCGCAAGATTCAAAATAGAAACTGATGTTCGAGCATGTCCGGACTTCGAGGAAATGCTTGTCGGCAGGGACGAAAGAAATTGCCAGGAACATCTGATCGAGATGCAGTTCTAAGTGTTGCTTACAGCATACGCAGCAGGCGCTCACAACTTCGCTACGAAGGGCTGAGATGTCGGGAGATTCAATTGGTTAGCTTACGGGATTTGAGGTTCTCACGACCGCGAAGATCTTCATGTCAGTCTTCCGGTTGTGACGGAGGAACATAATAAAATTTAGCCCTGAAGAAGGAAGCAGTATGCTCCTCCGAAACATTGGTGTCTAGTTATGGCGTCACAACTGGGAAGGCCGACATCGACACGGTTCATGCGCTGTGTGGCCACTACGGCAGAACTGCTTGTAACGAAATTTGTTTCAACATCAGCGCTCGTTTAATTATACCTGCATGATGAAACAGCTCAGTGGTTTTGCGTGGCGTGCGTTCATTTCGGAATCCAGGTACGAATAAAAATGCGTGTGCAGGGGATAATTGAAAGCGCTATGAATATCTGAATATCCTGCAGACTAATGAAGCGTGGAGACCACCACGTGCACAGGCACACACTCCCGTGTCAAAGCCCTGATTCTGCGGTTTTGAACGTGAAGAATTTCGGTGTGGGGATTAATTCGTAATGGCCTCAGATAAACGACGCGAAGTTTTGCTAAGCGGCATTGAGCGACGTTTATTCTAATTAATTGGCTTAGACGCCGACCGAAAGAATCGGATCTTTCTAAAGTACATTTGCAGCGAGAGATAATTCACTAAATCGCATTGTCCTTGTTTCAATGGCTACTGACGGATGGTACCTGAGTAAACTCTTTTGATTTTAATGGCTTCTGTTGAAGCCTCATAATTTCCTGATCTTTCACTAATTCAAGCTACATGGACCCACAGGGCCTCAGACTCATTGATGCCTTCAAGGAAAGTTCTAAGATTCTCGAATATTGATGGCTCTATCTGCTCCACATGAGTTTTCAATTCTGATATGTCTCAATGAAGATAGGGCACGGCCTCTTGAGGTCACTCAGCGTCCAACGTTCGAACCAGTGGCGGCTGGTAACCGTTCGGACAAGTAGTTCCACGGCCAATGAAAAACGCCATCCATCCACAGATTCCCGCTTCAGTGTGGGAAATTTTATTTTTTAAAGGTTTACTGAAAGCAAAGCAAAGTCTTCTTCTTATGAAGTGAGCCTCGTTCCTTTCTTAAGACACTGTATACAAACTGTATCTGATATTTTGTTATTTTGTTCTGACATCTCTGTATCAGACTCAGAAGCACTGAGTTTCCAAATATATCTCAAAAACGGGGTTTTCAATAAACTTTGGACCGCATCGAAAATACAGCCTTGTCACTCGAATTTAAACGCTCAAACACACAAATCACATTTCGTGATTTAGTCCCACCAAAAAAACAAAAACAAACAAGAATCCTAAACTGCTGACTGCTAAGCTGGACCATTCATTACCTGACGGGGGAAGGTACAATGTCAGATGATAAGACAATCATACGAACTTCTCGTTGGGCTGTTCCCGTGGTCGAATTGGCAACGGAACTTCGCCATACTGACAGTAACTTCGATGGAAAATTGCGCTTAAGATAGGGCCTGTGACATAAGGCCCCGAAGAAATTTTTGAAACTTAAAAAAATTATTCGTGGGTTTTGTTTTTAAAAAAACTTTTTATTCCATTTAGACCAATGGAGACAAGTTAGTACAATTTGTGGCCTGTTAATGGCGTGGCAATACACCTCCACATATTCTCACTTGTTGAATTGCGTTATTTCAAGATCACGTTACAATTACACAGATTATTTAGCGTGCAATGAGAGCGTGATGTTCGATGACTCGACGTTCGAACCGTGGTCCTTCGGAATACAAGTCAGATGCATTGACCCACTCAGTTATTGACTTCTAGAATAGACTGAGGTCTCAGTAGGCCACTGGACAGCTGACAGATCCGCTTGCAAATTCATTTTCATTTGACTGTTAAGAATTGATTCCAGTCGGTCTACTTTAACATAATCTGGTCTACTCGACTGTGACTTTAAATTAGGCTACATGGTCGATAATTGCTTAAAACAAAGGTAACAAATTTAATTTAAAAATAAACATTTCAACAAAATACCGTGTTAATTGACATTGTTCTGTGCTGTGTCGTAAGTAGACACCCAAAATTCTGCTAGACAGTAAAGCAGCTGATGGCGTGCGCTCCCTATTTCAGTGCACGTTAAAAAGATAACATTAATACGAAATTATTGATATTTAAGCGGTACTGTAACGTCCTTATTTATAAGATTGAAACCAGAGGCACTGCCTTATCTCATGACCTCTCACACTGCAGCAGTGTGAGTGTAATGTAACAATATGCAAAATAAGTAAACAGAGGTTGCTCAAGATTTCTCAGTCTTGTACGAGTGAGTGACATGTCTGTGACTCATATTGTTACAACTTCCTGTTATTTTCAGCAACAATGTACAGGATTGGGGTTGTGTCCACACGTTCGAGCCACACGCAGGAATTATTTAATATTTTAAAGCAGTGGTATTCAACCTTTTTTGTTCGCGTACCCCCAGATATAATTTCTCTTCAACTTTGTACCCCCAAAGTTGTTGGTGTATAATTCAAGTTATACATAGTATATAATCTACATCTAAAACAAATTAAATAAATTACATTACTGATTATTCAGTGTTTATCATAAAATAATATATATTTTTTTAAATTTCACGTACCCCCTAAGATGTCTTCGCGTACCCCAGGTTGAATACCACTGTTTTAAAGTACCAACTTCAGACTTCGTTTAACCAATAAACGTTAATTTCTTATTATAAAATTGTGTACTGCACGCGAAGAAGCAAATATGAGTGTATTTGTCTTGTAAAACTGATATTTTTAAATTATACATAATCGTCGTCTTGTATGATTCTTTATAGCCAATTATATTTCATTCTCTGTTCTCGTAAAAATTTCTTGGTCATCCATTTTCAAAATTTTGCGGAATAAATTTTAGAAACCACTTTCACTCTGTGACCAACCGAGGTCATGAACTGTGCTTATTGGTCCGCGTCTGTCCGCCAAAGATATGACGCACATTGGACTTTATTTTTACAAAATAAGTCGATATAAGCGTCTCAAATTCTGTCACTGTTCTGACCTCGCCGTCCGTCTTGCTTGACATGTGCAGATGAACGTCAGCCAGGAGGAATATGCACGAATGTACGCAGTGTACCTGCGCAGTGTAGACGATAATCGACGCCGACGCCAAAGAGAGCAGAGGCAGGAGATGGAGCATGAACGTCTTGGTGGCGTCACAGCCCAGAGATTCTACAGTTTCACCCACGCTGGTAAGTATTTTGTGTTTTAATTCCACTGTAATGCTAGTAGCCTTGACTTCGCTCTTTAGTGTAATGCGATATTTTACCCCGCGCCCGACGGCCATGTTTCAGGGCGTAGTTTCGCTTTTGTTAATGTCGTCCGTGCACACATTTTCGACCCGTGGAGCGGAATTACGATAAATGATTAAAAATTCTTGCTAGTGTTTATTCAGGTATTTTATAGAACTTAGCAGACGACACAAAAGGCAATTTTGTGTCTAGTTAATTAAATACAAGAATTATAATTTTCATTGTGAATTACAAGACAAATTATTTCTACCCTTAATTATCGCCAGTTATTACGAACATGTGTGTCCAAAAATATATATAGAAATTAACGACTACTGAATAAGTGTACTTTGTCCACGGAGTGTAGCTGTTCGCGTGATTCTCACGATAAACAGTGATGATTTCCTTAAACTGCATTGACATATTGATCTTTGTAATAGAGACGCGTTGTTTTCTTCGCGGTACGGACTGAATTTTCACGTATTTGGACGAGACGCGGCTTCAAACGGTTTAAACTAGTGTCGACCACATTTTGAAGTTCATGACGTCCCCCTTTCAACTCTCTGTCGTGTCAGGCGCGAAACCAAAATAAACTCAGCGCGTCGCTTGGCGTCTTTCTGACTGTAACAGGAGTTTCCTTGTATACGAGCCCTTGAAAAATACGACGTTCAATGTCTTCTTAATTTTAATGATAGTAATTGTTTTGATTTATGATTTTGTGAGTAAAATAGCATTGCTATTCATTCAGACAGAAGTAAAGTTTAAAAACGGTGTCGTCTGACGTCAGATGACGTTGCCACCAACATGCGCTGATCTTTTAGGTGTGGTAACGTAAAGAAACGATTTAGACGTGGGGACGTATGTAGTGTTTATGGAGTCGAATCTTCTGTCAAAGAAGTAGGAATCGACTTTCTGGCGAGGGGAAGCGTGCGCTGTAGGATCCTAGGTAAGGCGCACACAGCTAAATTTAGCCTCTCTTCCCACAGAATTTGTATGATTTCTGTCGGGGAAGTAGGAGGATGGGAGCTCTCCTTCCCCAGCCCTGGACGTGCACGTGTTCGAATGGGAACTTCATTCATGAAAACGTCTTCCCCTTCCCTTCGCCCCCGCTTCTGTTCTCTGTCCCCAGCCTCCTCAAGTCTGTTGGCGGCTGAGCAAACTGAGTTTTCCCAAAACACTGGCCAGCTGTTCCGTTCCTGAGCTCTGAGGTTCTCACGGCAGTGACCAAGAACGTGGTGGGTTATACCGATGTTTCGAGGGAACACAATGTTCCTATCTTCAGGGCTGGGTTTGTGGGTGGCTGGCACTCAAACTGGCCGGAAGATCGGGTAATCGAAGGAACGAATTGCTCAAGCGCTTACTGAATAACGGGAATGTAACTCTTAATTGAGTCGGATCAATGGTTTCTTTTTCCTGTCTGAACACGTGACAAATGACATTTCTGTGCTGTATAAGGAAAGATGCTGACAGGTCTCGTCCCGAAGAAATCCATCTGTCGATATTCTTTGAAGCGAATTACGCGGTCGTGGTTCTCAGTGGGGGGGGGGGGGGTCCCCGGGTATAATTCTCAGTCCGTCTTGACAGGTTTTTCGTGATTTTATCCTGAGGCAACTGCCGTTTCCTTCCACATCCTTTCCAGTTCATTAATCAACCTCCTATTATTCGTTTTTATAAAATCAAATACTGACAGAATCGTTAAATAAAGTATAAACAAACGAACAGACAGACAAGACAAGAGAATGATAACTTTTTCCTTCTCTCAGTTTCGAAATGTGCCCGCTTTCCCCCGTGAATTTAACGGGCATAATTGCATTTCCGTGTGTCCCAGTCTCAGTATAGAGAGGGGAGGAATGGTAAATGGTTGGGCACGTAGAATTGGGGAGGGGGCGACTGTTCAGTTTCAGTCAATAACTCAGGAATGTGTGAAAGGCGTTGTTACACGAGGCAAAGGCTGCCTGTTGGCGCGAATACCATGACGCAGACTGAACGGAGCGTCGTACGCTGACCGTAATGCAACAAGTTGTTAACTTTATTCAACGCCCCAAGCTTTCGCTTAGGTTAGGTTAGGTTTGTTTGTTATGTTTTAAATGTATTCCGGTACACATCTGCAGAAAGATTCTGCCATAACTGTTTGCCTCCAATGTCTTCGGCAGTACGCACAGTTCAGTAAATGATAATCTGCCTTTCGAAGTTTAAAATCCTCTGGAAAAAGCTTGTGTTTCTTTACGTGTGGAGAAATTCCGCTGATCTGTCTTGTCTAGGCTGCCTCCGTCATCAGGGTGGCCGCTCAGTGTCCCAGCGTTTGTGCTGTGTGTCGGCCCACTGATGTCTTCAGTTACATGATCTCGCTGTGTGAGAATTGCATCACGTTCGGGTGTCACAGTCGATAGATAAATCCTGGTTCCCGGAGTCAATGCCGGCGGACTTCGGGAGTCGTTCGACCGGGCCCCGTATGGTAGCACACGTCCGGCGTCTGACATGCTAATTGGTTGTCAGGCGTTAGGAGGTCCGTCTCGGCCCCTCCAAACAAGTTTCTGATGGTTTTCCATGACCGTGGAAAAAAAAGTAGATGGGTGGCATTTTTCTCAGTTAAATCGTGAACGCTCCAAGAAGTGACCTTGAGACGATAGAAAGTGGTTACCTGTTTAATGACTGTGGCATTCTGCTCAGCAGAACTTGTACGTTTTCCACTTTCATAAGTTGGTACGGAATCTTGTATTCCTCCTGTTTAAGTATGGACGTCTTGAAGATATCAGTGGCGGTTTAATGATCGTCACTCCTGTTTCTAATTGGATGTACACGGGTTTTAATGTCGGATCGAAGACTGGCAACCTCAGCCCCTCCGGACAACTTCTGGAATAATTAATGTCTTCGTGAGCAGCAAATACCTCAGTCCGTTTCTTTCTGAATTCGCAGTTCGTATTTATTCCGTATTTTCACTCTGTGTTACATGTACAGTTGAGAGAGCGTTGTTAAATAAACCAACAATCATACGAATAAACAGAACCGAGGAATGGTTTAACCTCCATAGTGGGAGCCTTGCGTATCAGTCCTATGTATTCGAAGGCAAGGACTGCCAACGGAACAAAACCAAATATCCAAATGTTCAGAATTAAAACATCGAGGATAGAAAAAAATATGTAAAGAAATGAAATGAAATAACTTTCTGATTCGTTCTGCCCCGTAGTATCGATAGAGTAGTTAAATCGAGGGGCTTTCGGACAGTTGAATGCAGAGTGTATCAAAACGGATTTTAATGGCGTGAACTTTTGATGATGTGGTTTGTATTCAAGTGCTCACGATGGGATCTGGAGGTGGGTTCGTTGCTGTTGGTGTTGAAACTCTGGACTCACGTTCAAGAGAATTCACTCAGTCACGTTCTTGGAGCGTGCATTAGTGCACTACAGCGAAATAAAACTCGGGGACTGCTAAAATACGCGAGCCAGCTGAGTCCACAAAAAAAATTTTCTACATTAAATGTTGCAGGCCGTAAGATAATTTATTCTACATGTTCAGTGTCATCAGTCTGTCCGCTGCTCTCAGAGCTTATAGGAGTTACGTTTAGGGCTAGATTCTACTGCCTCCTGTGAATGAGTTCTATGAAGTTTCGAGCTTAGCCATAGCCAACAACAAGGAACCTGCGATATGAGGAATGCTTCGCGAAGTCCGGGTGGTCGAAGAAGCTCGAATTATTATCGAATGGGTCGCCCGAGAAAAGAGCGTTCTGTAATTACACGATGACGAAGTTTGTTGTCTGTTTCTCTAACATCAAAGAGTAAATGAGAAGGTTATCGAGCGTAGAGGTACTGAGAAAAGCAAATAAAAGATGCAGACGGACCCTTGGACCTGCTGCTAGCGACCGAGCCACGCTCACAGATACGGCTGTCCCGACACCAACAATCCTACGTGTGTCTCGTATCTGCTGGTCGTGATTAAACAATTAGAAGCTGAGAAATGACAAATGAGGGAAGCTGCACGACGCCCTTACATTTACAGAAAATATCCAACCCTAGGCACGGAATATTCAGTTCGAGAAATTCCCAGCGCGTAAGGCATTAGGGTTTTCATCTCTGTCGCTTTGGAATTCGGCTTGCCCAATTCACTTCATCGTGCAAAACAGTTTTGTAGATTTTATCTGAAGCTTAAAAGGGGTAGCTGAATCGGATGTTCCCAGCTTCGAGGTTTTGTACGACGGTAAAAATGTAGAGTGGTCTTCTAAGTAATGGAGCTGTGTGCTTACCAGAGTTTCGAGACAATATTACACTGAAGATGGAGGCGATAAGTTTCTCCGAAACGTTACTGTTTACCTACAGGACAGTCGATACTTATCTAACATTCACAGAGACCGCGAGGTGTATTCTGCGTGGCCTGAGCTTCGACGAGTCCCATATAGTGAATGTTTGCCTTGCTCCGGGCTTCAGTAACTCGTCATAACCAAAATCCGAGGCTGTAGAACGCCTGGCTCCTTCCGTTGCTTGGAGACCGTGCAGTAGGCCGTTTGTTTGGGCAGGAAGCGAAGACAAGGCATTCTCTCGCGTCGCCTTGGGCGATCTTGGGTATCACAATGCACTGGGAACATTTACTCAGCGGAGAAGAGATGGCTCCACTGTCCTCACTGATTATTTTCACAGCTCCTCACATTCCACAGTTTTCTCTTTATAGTGTCTATTGGCATTTCTTATTGGCACCTACACGCATACTGACTTCAATTCAGACACCGAAGCAGCGGTGAATGACAGGCATCTGAGGGCTTCCAAGTTTCTTTGACAGGCGGATCGACGCCACGGTTTTGGACTGCGCGTGACGACAGTGAATGAGCAGAAGAAATCACTGAACGTCACGGCCGACAGATTACCACCACCTCTGCCCCCTATTCGGGTGTCCTGGGTTCAAATATCGGCTCAAAGACCGGTTATTCTGACTTATTGGCTTCGTGATTTCACTCACTTCCTCCAGGCACG